GGCCGATTTATTGGTGGGTTTGGCGGTGCTACCATTTTCGGCTACATGGGAGGTGTTTAAGGTGAGTAAAGAGATGTGATGAAATGGAATGGAAATTCATGTAGCATTACTACGGACACGTATGCGTATGAGTGTTATAAATTATTTTCAGCAAATAATTAATGTTAGTCATACGCCATGCGGTCTGGCGGTTATTTTTGGAAAACCCCGAACAAAACAAAACCTAAATAAATAATTATGATGTATTTATGTTGTTGTTTCTGTTTTTGTATTCAAGGTTTGGATATTCGGTGATGTCTGGTGCCGCATTTGGTTGGCCGTTGATGTATGGATGTGCACGGCATCAATATTAAATCTCTGTGCCATATCTTTGGATCGTTATGTGGCGGTTACAAGGCCGGTTACTTATCCCAGCATTATGTCGACAAAAAGGGCCAAATCTCTAATTGCTGGCATTTGGGTTTTATCGTTCGTCATTTGTTTTCCACCGTTGGTGGGGTGGAAAGATCAAAAGGTAGGTGACAAAAAATTTAAAGGGTTTATTTTCATTAAAGTTTAAGGGTGTTTTTTCGATAACAAAACAAACTGTTTGTGGTCTCTGTTGGATTGCCCAAGGTGGTATGTTGTTTATGCATTGGGGTATATGGGAACATGTAAATGCTTCTTAACTTTAAAATCTTATTATCGTATCAAATATTATAACGGATAAATGTATCCAGCACCGGAAATTTTTTGAAATGAGGTTTGGTTGATATTTAATTAAAAAGATATCCTGAGGGAGCAAGGAAAATTTGTTTAAAGGAAGTATATAATAAATAACTAACTGGCAAAAAGGAAACATATCATTAAATGTGGGTTAGGAAAGCAATGTTTAAATTATCATATTAAAATAAAAATTTATTTCTCATTGAAAATACTCTTTAAAAATCCATGCCTTGTAGTAGTCTATAAAAATAGTATTTAAATGTCCCATGCCTTGTAGAGGTTCTTAAAATTATTCTTTAAAAAAACCGTGCCTTTTAATGGTCCTTAAAAATATTCTTAAAAATAATACCCTTGCCTTGGTTGGTTACTTAAACTCCAGGCCATGTATTGGTCCATAATAATGTATTCTTTTTACCCTTTCAGTGTCAAAGGAAAACATTTTGTCGGAATAAAAATATAAAATTGTGTATTTAAGATCATATAAAGGCATAGAGTTTAGAAAAAATAGCAATTCGCATTTTAACCCAGGTTCGCCTGTCTTTCAGCAAAAACAAAAACCTCAATAGTAACGGTACATAGGATAACCGAAAAATCGCAAAGAAAGAGAGTATTTTTAAATGTCGAATATATTCGACAAAAACACTGAAAGGGTTAAGAATCCTTGCCATGTATTAGTCCTTAAAAATATTCTTTCAAAATCCATGCCTTGAGTTAGTCCTTAAAAAATATTTTTCTTTTTAAAAAAAATCCACGCCTTGTAATGGTCCTTGAAAAAATTGTGTTTCTTACAAGAAGCTTTTTTTGAAGAGTTATTTAATAACACCACAATCATTTTTAGTTGTGTCCATATTTCGAAATGTCTTGTAAAATTATTACTCGTATTTCTGGGTCATGGTATAAATTCAATTCTCTGCTGGCACTTAAAAACTCGTAAAACTTGACCAAAATGTGTCGAATATATTTTCTACCAAACATTTGGCACTGCAGTTAAACAACCAATGAAATGCCAGAATACTTTTCGGCAAATACCATTTTTTAGTACCAAAACGGAATTTTTTTGACATTATCCATACACAAAATGTCTATGGACTTTACTTAAGGAAATTGGCAAAATGCTACTTTGCTGTACAATAATTTACTTTCCTTTTTTGGGCAATTTTACGCTTCGTATGCTAGCCCACATTTAGTATCATAGTTTTGTATTTCATTTTGTTTTTATGTTATTGTTGCTGCTGTCGTTTTTTTCTCTTTTTCTTCAACAACATGCTAAAGAAATTTGTAAGCTATTTAGCTCATTGTAAATGTTAACCTTCATTGATATGAGACATTCGAGGTTTATTTGGAAATTCCTAAAAAAATCCACGCCTTTAAAAATCTTTGTGTTGGTCCTTGAAAAGAATATATCTTAAAAAATGTATCCCTTTGTTGGTCCCTGAAAAGAATATTCCTTAAAAAATCCACGCCTGCGTTGGTCCTTGACAACATATTCTTTGAAAAATAATCGGCTTGTGGTAGTCCTTGAAAAAATATTCTTTAATAAATCCTCGCCTCAGTTGGCCCTTGAAAAATATTCTTTAATAAATCCAAGCCTAGCCAAATTGTACTAACCAGCTGGTGCATGCTCCTGACCAGCATGTGACCACCAGTCTTGAATAGTTCGGCTGGTAAATATGATCAATTTGATTTCTCGTTGCTTGATCAGGAGAAATCCAAGTGGCCTTGTGTATATCGAGATGTTTTTTGCTGCCGCGAAGTCAATCAGCCTCATGCCGTTGTCGGATGTTTCTTCATGGAGACTGAATTTTCTGACGGTGGCACCAAAAATATTTTCCCTTCCGATTTTTGCATTTAAATCTCCTAGCAGAATTTTAATGTCATGGCCAGGGCAACGGTCATATGCAGTTTCTAGGCGCTCGTAAAATATGTCTTTGGTCTGTTCATCTTTATCTTCGGTTGGAGCATGGGCGCAAATGAGACTGATGTAGAAGAACTTCGGTTTTATACGAAGTTAATCAACCGCATGCCGTTGTTGGATGTTTCTGAATTCTGAGGCTGAATTTTCCGACGGTGGGACCAAAAATATTTCTCTTCCATTAAAATCTCCTAGCTGAATTTTATACGGATTATAGCAATTCGCTCATCTACTGGAGTGAATCTGGATACGAGGTCTTTTATTCTCCTGTTAACCATAAATCCGCAGCCAAACTCACGTCTCGTTTCATGGCAGCTATAATACAGGGCGTAATCATTTCATTTACTTACGCCAGCCCCTTTCCATCGCATTTACTGTAAGGCAATAATATCGGCTTTGCACTTCTTAAGTACATCCGCTAATGATCGTGGTCCTTTATACGTTTGCGGGGATCATCAACATTGGGGAGTTTGATTTTCTTTTTCGTTGCTGTTTCATAGTAGGTTCGGTTTTCCGAGTGTGGTTAAGTAACCCAACGTCTCAACCCATTTGTATAGTTCTGTTAGGTGAACTCGCGGCACATATTAGCTCACTATTTCAACGAGTGATGAAAATAGCTACCACAGGTGACACCGCGGGGAGGTCACTGCCCACAATTGAGATGAAATAGGGGGCAAGATAAGCCTGGGCTTCGCCTTGTTAAAGCCAATCAGAGCCGTTGCTTGGTATCTAACACACGCTTTGTGTGACGTCCCTGAAAAAATATTCTTTAATTAAACCACTTACACCTTGTGGTAGTCCTTGAAAGAAATATTCTAAAAAAATCGATGCCTGTAAAATTCTTAAAAAAAAATATTATTTTAAAAAATCTACCATTGAAAAAATTCTTGAAAACAATATTCTTTGAAAATACACCCTTAAAAAATTTTTCTTTAAAAAAAAACAACGCCTTTTATTCCTTAAAAAATCCACGCCTTGTTTGGTCCTAGAAAAAATATTCTTTTAAAAATCCACGACTGAAATAGTCCTAGAAATGAACATTAATTTTTTTTTTTTTTTTTTTTTTTTTTTTTGGAAAATTTACCTCGGAATAACTCATATGCCCTCATATCTTCTTTACAATTTCACATACTATCTTACATATATGTAAAAGAGACAAGTATACGATCTACATTTTTATACATATGCATAAATACAAAAAAAGGATATACATTCATAAGTAAGCACATAAGTATGCCAACAAGAAAAACAACAACGGCAGCAGCAGCAAGAATTAAGGAAACCCATAACAATTGAGAACAAACATAAAAAATAAACAAACATTCAAGGCAATTTCACCGAAAAAAAAGAACGGACGGACTATTCGACAGACATTGCTTAACGTAACAAAAAGGACAAACAAGTAGAAGAAGAGAAAAAAAATAAATAAAAACGAGAAAAAAACTGAAAGTTTTATTACAATGCCATGTAATACAATACAGCATATTATAAGCCATTCGTATAAACCATGTTCTCAATGACCCAGGTCTTAAGGCGCAAAGTGACAACCGAAAAAATGTTGCCAAACTGTTTTTTTTTTCATTTTTCTGAAGGCATAATTAACTGAAATCCTTTTGTATTTTCATCGCATTGTAGCGGCAAATTTAAAAAAAATGTTGCAACAACAACAACGAAGACGACAAACAAGCAACCAAATAAAATATCAAATATCAAGCGGTGTAATAAGCCTTCAATATATTGCTTGTAGTACCAAAAAGAAATTACAAGTTAAAAAGCAGTAGTAGTAGCAGTATCAGCTGCTGCTGTGTAACTGACAGACTGACTGACAGCATTGTTCACAATCGACATTTATTTTTGGTACAAAATATTTTTATTTTTACTTTAATTCTTGCCACATCTTTAATGTTCGTAACAATTCGTAACAATGAGTTTTTTCTTTCTAATTTTTTGTCAATTAAACCAAAAATTGTTGAAGAACAAAAGCTTCTACTTACACCTGGTTTTATAAACCTCTTGGAATTCTAAGGATTTTATTTTATTACTGAGAAAAGAAAAATAAAATAAAAAACCAAGAAAGTTCTTGTTCTTTCAATTCATAGAAAAAATTGTACGACGACACGTGATATATATTTTGTGGAAAAGAATTAAAACATGTGGTTGTCGAAAAAAATGAAACAAAAACTTTTCCATCGACCTTTGCTGTTGTTGCTGGCAGAAAATTGCGACAAATAATTGTGGGGTTTAATAAACCAAAAATAAATTGTTCATGAAAATAAAATTATGAACTTTTGATAAAACGTGTCGATTCGTTTAAAGCATGGGTAAATATTTAATAAATTTCAAGTAATACAGGCCAGATTATTGCGTGGAGTAGCTGATCAATTAACTAGCTCAATCCTTAGAAGCCCATTGGATAACTATTTCAAAATCTCTCAGAAAATTAGCCATGTATATGTGGTTGTCGATAATGTTTGGTGGAATTATAAAATAATAATTATAATAAAATCTTTAAATAAAAATAATAATAATAAAATCATAAACCCCAATGAGACATAAACAAGTTAAAATGACGGCGTTGTTGAACTTTTTATATCCTCACCATGTAGTGGTCATTCTATGGTAGATACCTTATTATGGCGGCTACTTTATTACAAATGATCTGCTAGAAGATTGTCTGAAAAAATTAAATACAAAGTTACAGACAATAATGTTGGGAAATTGAGGTAGAATATTCAACATACAAAAAAAAAAAAAAGAAATACTATAGACCTTTGTATTGAGCTAATTAAAACATGGGCATATATTTAACATTTCCTGAAAATTTTTTATTCTATCACAGCCCCCTTAGTGGGAAAATGCAACTAAAACCTCAAAATTCTGAAAAGGGGATTTCGCCTTTTTCCGGCTACTTTAGGACATACATTCTTCTGAAAAATGGTCTGCAAATGTTTTATTCTCCCCCAAAGAACACAGACTACTAAAACCTTCAAACTAGCGAAAATGCTTAAAGTGACCTACAGATGGAGGTTATGTCAATGTGCCACAGGGTATTATGTCTTGGTACATATGTTTGTAACAGGCAAAAGGAAACGAGATAGACCCATGGTTCCTTTTGAGAATATGCATTGAATCACTTTCTGAGTCGATTTATGCATGTCAGTCAGTCTGTCTATGTTAAATTGTCAACAAAGTACAGGTCGCATTTATGATTCGAATTGGATGAAATGGCACAGCTCATTTGTTCTGCCCAAAGATGAACCCTACTGAAATTGGGAAAAATCGGTTCAGATTTAGATAGAGCTCCCATATATATTTTGCACAACGTACTGAATTTAGTATAAGCTACTGTGTGGAAAGTTTCACTGAAATCGGTTCAGATTTAGATATAGCTCCCATATATAGTTTCGTCCGATTTTCAGTAAATGGTGAAACAAAGCCCCAAAATATGGCCTATTGACACACAAATTTGCACAACGTACTGAAGTTACTATAACGAGTATAAAGTTTTGTTGAAATCGGTTCAGATTTAGATATAACTCCCATATATAGTTTCATACGATTTTATGTTAAGATTTGTATATATTATTGTATATTTTAAGTAAATGACGCACAAAACGTACATAAGTTAGTATAATCTTATTCGTTGAAATCGGTTCGGATTTGGATATAGCCTCGATATATAGGTTCGCCCGATTTCATGTAAATGGTGCACCAAACTCCTAATGTTTATCAGATTTATTATAAAAATGCAGTCATGGTCTATATATGTATATATATTCGATCAATATAATCAATGGGGTCCCATTGAGATTTGCTTTAAATCGATTTATATAATTTTGCCCCATTGCAAACAAACGAATCTATATCTGTCCGTATGAAAAATTTAGCATAGGTTGCAGAATGACATGTCTATGATTGAGTTAAGTCTGTTCACAGCTAGATAAAGATAACATATTTTAGTTTATACGATTTCGGACATTTATAAGGATGCATCTGTTGAATATACTCAAAGTGGTGAAGGGTATTATATAGTCGGCTCCGTCCAACTTTACTACTTTCCTTATTGGTTTCGAAATAGTTTTGCAATACTGTCGCTCCCTATTCAAGAACCCGGAACAACGAATTAACCTTCGAAATACCGAAAATGCTTTCAAAAACATGGGTCTTGGAAATTCAAATCGTGGGTATCTTCAAAGAAAAATTTGGGCTTTTCGGTAACAAATCATTCTACCAAAAACTATCAATATTGGTCCACTTTTTGGGAGATCTTCCATAAAAAAGGCATCTCCCAAATTTTGCTAAGTTTTTCAATCGAATTCAATTTATATTTTATATTTTATGTTTCAATTGGTTGTCAAATTTTTCCCGTATAAATAATCCAGATAGGTTTAAGGTACTTTGAAAGTTCAGCTCATGATGGAGTGCTCATCCATAATAAACATAGATTTGAATATTGGTTAATTTTTTAGATTATTTTCCACACAAAAAATTTACCAAATTTCGATACATTTGGTAACATTTTCAAAGGAATATTTGACTGGAAGATAGTCAAAGGAAAACTAAACAACTGTTCTTAAAACTTTGGATTTGATTTGTATACCCTACACCACACTCTGGTACAGGGTACCAGACAAAAGGAAACGAGATAGGCACATGGCTCCTTTTGAGAATATGCATAGAATCACTTTTGTACAGATCGCATTTCGGATCACAGCTAATTTGTTTGGCCCAAGAACGAGCCCTATTGAAATTGGAGAAAATCGGTTCAGATATAGCTCCAACATACATTTTCATTCAATTTTACCTAAATGCTGCAACAAGCACACAATATTTGTCCGATCAAGACAAAATTTAGCACAGCATACTGAATTTAGTCCAGCTTTATATCTGTCAAGTTTTGTAGAAATCGGTTCTGATTTATATATAGCCCCCATATATTATTTCGTCCAATTATATGTAAATGGTGCACCAACTTCTAAGGTTTGTCCGATTGATATAAAATTTTGCTCTGCGTACTTAGTTAGATCCCAATTACTTTCGGATTTATATATAGCTTCCATACATAATTTTACTTAATTTTATACAAATGGTATACCAAGAATCCAAGTCAGTTGGCATACCATTTCAGATTGGTTCAAGGTTTTCATGTTTGGAAAATGTGTCACAGTGTTATTATTTATTTTGCGTCAAAATTGCTTTGAATGGGTCCCCATTTACATATTTTTTCGTTTTCATTTTAAGGGTACATATACGTCGTTACGTCTGTCGGATGTCAGGTGTCCATTTTGTAGCTATTAATTGTCGTGTAGGGTATAATATTGACTCGTGCTTTATTCACAGTGTGCTCGTTTGTACTCCATACAAAATGTGGATTCCACTTCTGCGGTTTCTAATTATGTAGATTCATTATAAACTTTTTTCTGTGAAATTAAATACATAATTTATTCCTGAAAATATATTTCTCAGAAAAAAATTTAAATTGTCTTAATAATTTCCACTGTTTCGTCGAATTCTATGCCTACATTAACGAGCTTTTAATTCGACCTTCAAAAAACCGCAAAACATCCCTATGTCCTCTTCCTTTCTTGAAAATTATCAACAATTATTACTTCCTCTCAAAGTGTGTTTGTGTAGATTTCTTTTATTATAGTAACAACAAATTAAATTTCACAGAAAAACTTTCCACTTCACCTCAACTGCCATGCAGATTGGCTGTGTGTGCTTCCCTATGTGTCAGCGGTTGTGTATGTGTGTGTGTAAGTTGTGGAAAAGTTTTCTCATATTAATCAGATTTAATTATTCAAATGTTCTCTAGCATACCCAGGCGTACCGACAGACCGACCATAAACATAATTCCAACACCACTTAGCATACATTTGCCGGCTTATTTACTTGCAATGGACATATTCATCGTCAGTGTAGTGTTGCTGCTAATCCCACGACGTACTTTATTATCTTACGTTCTTGTTTTTTCTCATCTCATTTTCTCGTTCTCGTTATTCTTCTTGTATTTACAGCCAATGGCAGAGCCAACATACACCAGGGGAAATTATACGCTTTATTATGCCACTAGTACAACAACAGTTGCAAATGAGCCCTCATCAGTAACAACATCATCGTCGTCGTCGCCTTCATCCTCCTCCTCGTCGTCCTCATCACCGTTTGCGGCGCCACCAGCAGCACCACCTTTCATTTCCACATTTTCGTCCAAGTTTTTACACCGAAAAAAGCGCCACAGGCCAAAGGCTGCCACAACATCTTCCCATTTACCACCTGTAACTACTCATGACTGGCTGATGGAGGCCCAATCTTCCTTGCCAGGCTCAGCCTCAGCAGCAGCATCATCATCATCGTCGTCCTCATCCATGTATAATTCATTTAATCCCTACGATCCATACCATGCCCACTTAGTTACTAAGAAGATTGCGAAAAATGTAAATAATCACAATGTCAACGCTGTGGCTGCATCGGCTAAAATTGTAGCTGATGATGATTATGCGATGGACGACGGCCAGGATACTACATATGATGAGCATGAGCATAAATCTCGACCTGATGATGATGGTGATGAAGAAGATGGTGAATATGGCGGATTTGATGCCAGTGGCAGTGGGGATAGCTCGTCGTCGGCAAGTTTTTCCAATGCCAACTATGAAACCTATAGTCCGGAGCATATAACAGATGATGACTATGGCTCATCAACTACCACCAGCAGCCGGAGTGCCAACAGTGCTATCACCAGCACTAGCACGAGCACAAGTAGAACTACCAGCAAAGCCACTAAAATCCCATCAACTACATATGACTATGTGGATTCATTGCCGTTATCATCGCCACTACCACCACCACCGCCGCCACCACTAACACCACCACCACCCTGTCCCTGGAAATGCGAGCTAACAAATGATCGCGGTTATGTTCTCTATTCCGCCCTCGGCTCCTTCTACATACCCATGTTTGTAATGCTTTTCTTTTACTGGCGCATTTATCGGGCGGCAGTGCGAACCACACGAGCCATTAATCAGGGATTTAAAACCACTAAGGGTAAGTAGCAAAGATTTCGTTTTATTTTTCCGATTTGTTCTACCACAAACCTGTGCCGTCCAATTAAAAAAAAAAAAAAAAAAACAAAGCGACATCAATTCAACACTCAACTCACATTTTTTTCTCATTTAGAGTGTACGTCTTTAATTTTGTTTGTGGCAAATACCAAAACGTAGTTGTGACATGAAGTAGTGAAACCGTCACTGCGACAAATCAACTTGTTTTTATAAACAAAAAACCAAAAAAACATTCATTTTAAAGCATTTTGTAAATCAATTAGATTTTGTTTGTTTTTGTAAAAACATTTTTCATTCTCAGATTAAACAATTAAAAAAAAATAAATAAATTAAAACACATTTTTCATTATTCACTATGCAATTTTAATACACACACAAATAATACGTATACCAACATTGGTTTGGATTTAAGGTAGGAGGTTTGTACACTAAAGCATATTTCATTGGTAATTCCATAAATAAATAATTTGGAATTGGCAAACTCCAAAGATTCGGAGGGCATTGAGGTCAAAATTATAGATGTTAAAACTAACAATATACTTGATGAACTGACCTGACATAGTTTTAGTAAACTTCGTTTTGTTCGTCACCCATGTCGAATGTTCGAAGATACGTCAATATCTGATAAGAAACGCCGATTTCCAAATAAAACATTTTCCGTACGAAATTTTTCAAATTAAAATACAAGTAACGACATCGTTAGGTCGAGTCGAATTTTGTTTAGCCTTTATCATTTAAAATTTAAAAATTGATCGGGATTTTTATGTGCATTCTACGCCATGGCAAAATATTGCCGTAAAAAAAAGAAATTTGAAAGTATAGATTCGGTGATTGTAAAATTGGGCTAGGTCCCTGAAAATAGGTCAAATCCTCAAAACATTAATCCAGCGTCAACATCCCCGTTTAATCCCGCCATGCTTAGCGGGGGCTATAGTATTACATGGACTGATATTGATAATGGAGGGTACCTTTATATGATTACACCATAGGTCAAAGTGCGGAGATATGGCTTTATCATTTTGGCGACCCTATTATACTTAAAGGGATAGCTTCATATCTTGATTTGTAGCTATTGTATGTATTTTTTGAGATAACATTTGTGTCCATTTCGTCCTTAACCCAGATAATTATATATATTTTCTTCTTCAAAATCAAAAATTTAATTTATTTTAAAAATCAGTGGGCGGAGCAGTATAGTCGGACGGGGCCGACCATATAATACCCTACACAACTTCCACGAAAATATATCTTTGTGTTATTTGCACCCACATGAAACCCGGCTAAAGATCAACAAATATTACTAATATTCAGTAGACGAGGGCTCTACTTGTCCAGATTCTCTTTACCGTGGGTTATGTTATGATGTTGGGCTTTCAATTGTGGCCTATAGATCGACTCAAAAAAATAACACAAAAAGTTAAATTCTCGGTCCACTGCATCCCAAAATTATTATCTGATCATCGCCGAAAATTATAGGCGTTGTCCTTGACCATAACTGGTATCTCCAGGAACATTTCAAAGCAATCAGCGGTATATTTCGACCTCTAGAGTGGTAATGGGTTACTAAATAATATCTGAGTACGTACGTGTAACTCCCACATCCGAGTACATACGGCAATAAAATTGATATCAATTTAAAGATCAACCACTCCTCTTGGGTATACTATCATCAACTTCTCGGGTCTATGCCCTTCAGGGGTAAATCTATACGATATAGGATACAAATTTTGTTATTTTTCACACAAAAGTCAGGGCCCATTTGACCCGCTAAAATTGAGCGATCTTTATCAAAACAGGCATGCTTATTCTTTAGCCCAATCCCCTTCTCCTTGCCAAAATTCGCGGTGTTTGGGCCATAATTGTGGCCGCTGGAGCGACCAGAAAAACCGACAAAAATTAAGTATTTGGTCCATTTCATCCTCTAAATATTAACCGATCTTTTCCAAAAACAATAGGGGTCTTCATTGCCCAGAACCCATTCTACATGCAAATTTTCGTGAAGATTGGTCGATAACTGTGACCTGTATCGTGTTTACAAATTATAATGGATGGACGGACGGACACACTATCTATCGACTCTCTATATCGACTCAGCTAGTCGAGATATGACGATCGGTATACTTACAGGTGGGTCTAGGACCAATATTTCGCGGCGTTACAAAATTTTGGGGCTGCACAAAGCTATAACACCCTGACAACATAGTTGTGTAGGGTATAATTATAATTTTTATGAAAAAATTATAATTTTATATTCGCCCGAATTATTTTCTCAAAACATATATAGTTATGCAAATTTTCGACGTAAAAAACCGGTTATCTAAATTTTTAATAATGAACCGATACTATCCCTGTTCAATAAATAATAAGTTCGCCAGCAAAAAATCACGCAATGTATCCTAATTTTGTCCTGTGGAATTGGGGAACAAGAATTTTCCACCCTCCAAAATCTTGATGCACAGGTAATTTTTGGTAGGAAGATGTGACGCTCAAGGAGAACAGAAAATATGAAACTAGAACCTAATGAGACCAAATTCGGCTGAAACCAGTAAGGAAAGTAGTAAAGCAGTAATTTCAGTACATCATTGTAGACCTAAGTCAGTTCCCTATGACAAATTTCGTGCAAATCGAAAGATATATGGGGACTTTTGAGCTCCATTCACCTTAAATCGGACAAAACTATATATGGGAGCTATATCTAAATCAGACTCGATTTTTACGAAACTTAGCATAGAATATTCTGGACCAAATTCAATGCCCTGTGCCAGATATCGTGGAATTCGAAAGATATATAGGGGCTTTGGTGCGCCGTTTACCTTAAATCGGAAGATATATGGGAGCTATATCTAAATCTGACCCGATTTTCCCGAAATTTAGCACACATCATTCTGGACCTAATTCAGTACTTTATACCAAATTACGTGCAAATCGAACTAATATTGGGATATCTTTATATGGAGGCGATACTGAAACTTGGACGGATATTTTAGTGTTTGTAGAATTTAATTATAAACCCATTCGGTTAAAACAATAAATTTTGTACCAAATGAGAAGCCAAAATATCGAAGTATAGCCACCTACAAATTGTCGAAATTTTGCTGAAAAATAAATGATTTTTATTTATTTTGCATGTAAGGGCGATGAAACTAATGTTTCTAGAATGAAGCCAAATGTCCGATTGACCAACGCGAACAGAGAATTCGATTAGGCGAAAACTGTGCATATCGTAATACCTTTGTCAAACTTTCTTTCACTCCGAAAATGGAATTTATAGCCACACCTCCCTCCCTACATGGGTCAACCATTTTTTAAAATATGTAAAACTAATACGAAGCTTTTTGATTATCCGATCTGAACCCATCCCAATAAATCTAGATCATATACGCAGATGCAATCTATCGATCCACTCCTTTAGAACTTAAAAATTATAAATCTAAATAGATTCCGAAAATAGTTCCTATGGATCCACTCCCGTAGGTACCCCTCCATAAATAGCCAACATTTCGTATTTTTCTCAGCTTGTTAGAATGATTCAAAAGTTAACCGCAAAATGTTATACCATATCAAATTGGCTCCCAACCGTAAAAATAGGTATACAATATTAAATAAAGCGAAATGGGGGTCTACGAGGAAAGGGAATTTATACCTTCATATATAATCCAATACGTAACTAAAAACCAATATTTGTAATTACTTGAATATGCTCACTCCGTATACAATAAATTTTGAATTAGATACATAGGGTGTAATATATAAAAAGCACCGGAAGAAATTAACAAGGTTTCTAATTGTTATTATTCTATTATTATTTCTTAATTTAGAGTATTTTTATTTTTTAAATGATAGCATTATAAAACACAAATTTAACGAAATGTATGGAACTACCAAACCCCATTACCATTTTACATAAAAACCATTTATTTTCCCAAATATTAACACATGTTCACAAAAAATTCATATCTAATTCATATTATCCCAGAAACCAATGTCTTAACATTCAATTGTTTTTGTCCAATCTTGATTCTTATAACATAAGTAAATTTGATACTTTGTCCTAATGTCTAACATATGTACATGTATGTAAAGTATCTTGTGATTTGCGGGACGAGGTATGAATACCTTAAAAGTGTGTATATTGTCTATAGCTTCTATTTTAAATTCAATGTACCTACAAAATTTTACAAAGACACCTACACAAATATTCACACATATAGCTAAACAGTAAAATCTCAAATGGCTCGAGAAAATTAGTTCCTTATTTAAATAATCCATAAAAATGTGTATTGTAATTGAATTCATCCGTAATATTAATCCAGGTTATTTGCTAACAAGCACAATAAACATTTTCTTAAATCTAAAATTTTAAATACTGTAGATATGCGTACACACATACAGACACAGAAATAAAGAGCTCTGTTGGTAAAGACACACATACATCAAACAATAGAAGATTATATTTATACCATACATAGCTATTGTTTGGGGTTTTACCTCTTTTCTTTTTTTGCCAATTAAAACTTTGATTTTTTAATTTTTAAGAAAATTATTCACAAATTAATTTTATTTATTTCATATATATATATATATATATATATAATACACTTTGTTTTAGATTAGGTAGATTTAAGTTCCAATGAGAATTTAAATGATATGGGAAGTGCAATATTTATATGTAGGTTAGGTAATGTAATTCCAGTGCAATATATAGGTTTAGGTTATGTAACTGATAATTCAAGGGTTATTAGGGCAGTGCAATATTTAGGTTTAAATTAGGAAATTTTTTAGGTTTTAATTATTTCAATTATAGGTTTAGTTCTATTTATTTTTTGGCTTAAATTTTAATCTTGTGTTGTAATATAATTCAGTTCTTTTGTGTTATTTATTAATATTTGTAACTTTATGTGTGTGTAGTTTAACTTTATGTACAATTCAATTTATTTGTGTAATTTTAATTTGTATTTATTTTTCTTGTTTAATTTAACAATTTGTGTTTGTGAAATTCAGGTGTT